TATTTCTCCTCTAACAGCCCTCCTCTGCTCTATTGCCCCCGCACAGACAAATCACAGCTGCACAGCTGTGCGTGTCACTCTCAAATAGAAGAAATAAAACAAAACATGGACACAGGCTAATAATTCACTCCGTGTTCCTGAGATTCTAGTGCGTGAAAATGCACTGGCCTCTCCGAGGTTCCTCTCTATGTCTGTAAAAATATCAGCCAGTGTGCATACACTGATCATAACATGTCATTACGCCGCAGTGTGTCACTGCACTACATCAGTCATTGTATTTGAATATTTTGCTTTTCACTTGAAGCTAAAAAATATCAGTCATGTGGATTTCTTCAAGATTTTACAGGCAGTCTAATATTTCTTGTATTGTGTGATGAGCTTCTTTATATTTCACAGCTCAGATATTTAAATAGCTGTAAAGATGTCCAGAAGCACGGTACAGCTGAAAAGCCAGTATCCCAAGGACCACTGGTGCTGAATGACATATACATGCTACAGCCATTGTGTGTGTATTCCAACAGCATTGTCTTTTAAGAAGAGTTCACCAGGGGTTTGAAACATAAGGCCCGGGGACCAGAATTAGCCAGCGTTTTCTGTCCAGTGGGCTGGAGTGTAAAATGACAGTCTTTGGCAGGCTGATATGAGGCCTTAGGTTTGACACCTGGTCTAAATGCTGGCCTACCTGCAGTCCTGGCCTATCTATGGTGGTAAAACCTTCCACTTTCAAAATGACAGCAATGGGTCTCCTCTGTTTCCAAATGCTTACAGAGTGCTGTTAATAGAAGAGGTGATGCGACCTGGCATCAAATCAAAACTGAGCATACACTTTTCAGAAAACACCTTTCTTACTTTCAGCATTTAAATTTGTTGGCTCCGCAGCTAATAGATGCTTTTGCAGTCTGAGGTTATAAAAGCATCTATTAGCTGCTGAGGTTTTTGCAACAACTGCAACAAATTCCAGTTTTCCATTCTTGCCCTCGGTGTGCAGATAAATAGCGCTCAATCTCGCAGCCGCCCACGCCGACTGAAACAGATTAAAGTCAGACGGCCAACGTGACACCACACAGTCTGCAGCGCTGAGACCTGCCTAAACACTTAATGCATGATAAGTTCAGCTGCGACTCTCGCCTGGGACGAACGAGCGTGCTGATTAATCGCACTTCAAAAAGTAAAAAAAATATATGAAGGTGCAGCACAGGGGCTAGTCAGTGTCTGGGGGTCATGTGAGCAATGGGTGAAAGTGAGAAACAGACAAAGGGAGGGGAAGAAAGCAAGCTGAGTCACTTCCTCTCCAAAAAAAGTGAATGTGTTTACTTTTAGTCGCTGAGGAAATGACTGCATGGGCCAAAAGAGAGTTCACGAGCTGTTCTCACATGTCTCTGAGCCTCTGCTGCTCACCATCATAAGGTCACCGACTGCCAAGACACACACACGTGCACACATGCACGCACACACAGAATGAAAATACACTGCAGGTCAGACAAGAACCATCCTTATTGTTAGTACAATATAATTACTTCCCATCTGAAAACTGAAACCCTGGTGATATTCTCTGACAAGCAGACAATAATAACAGACAGCACGGACAAATAAGCAACCTTATTACACAATCTGTGTGTAAAGAGCTGAAGATGGAAATTCAATCCTTTACTTGGATAAAAGCAGCAACGCAACATCCAAAAGATGAAGAATGTGAGCGACTAAAGCAAAGACTACTTAGAGCAGAGTGCCCCGAACAATAATAAACCCTTCTGCTCAATGTGTCCCGGGCCTCTAAGTTAATCATCACACAAAGTGCAGTGAGATAGTTAACATATTAGACTGCGTCTTTATTTCTACAGCAGCTCGTGTTTCTCTATGGAAACAATCAGAGCCATTTCCACAGACAATGCCAAATTTTTAAAGCGATCACGAGGAACTACACTCAGCGGCGTTGGAAGTTTTATCAGGTTTGGCCACGAGAGAATCTCAGTGAACACTCAGGAGCAATGACAACAGCTTAATGGATCTATGGCAGCCTCTGCTGGATCACTTGCCCAGTGGTTTAAACAAAGACGTCCAAAGGGCACGTTGGCTCCAGGTGGAGTTTTCTCTACAGAACAGTAAGAAGAAATTAGTTTCGGTGCCGTGCACAAAGAGTCTTTTTTTTTTGGATCAAGCCTGTGAAGCATATTGGCATGATTTACACTACATGAACTATATACGGTTTTTCTTAGGAGCAGATTAGACTGTGTATCAACACAATTTGTACTCTGGATTTTGTGCTTTTATCCCCAGAACGGTCAGTGATTATGACTGTTTATCCTTTACAAGGTTAAAATGTGTAGTTTCTTTTCCAAACTGGTCTAAAACAAACCCACAGCTGCACAACTTGAACTCAATGGTGCATTTTGAGGGAATAATCACTGCAAAAACTTGTCCTGGGAGATTAGCTTTTAGACCACTTGCCATAAAACTCATCACACTGGCTATTGTTCCACCAGATAATAGATTGCAGTAAGTTTAGTGATCCTGCAACTTTTTTATCTACTGCACGTTGAAATTTCTCTTTGTCCATTTTATTTATTTGTGACCAAACAGATACAACACGGTGCTGGAAGCATTTCTCAGAGAATTTCGTCCATATTGACGTGATAGCATAACACAGTTGGTGCAGATTTTTGGGCTGCACATCCGGCATGTGGATCTCCTGGTCCAAAGGTGCTCCGTTAGGTGTAGATCTGGTGGCTGTGGAGGCTTTGTGAGTATAGCAAACTCACTGTCATGTTCAAGTAACCAGTTTGAGATTATCTGAGCTTTGTGACATGATGTGTTATCCTGCTGGTAACAGCCATCAGAAGATGGGTACACTGTGGCTGTTTAAATGACGCTCATTGGTCATAAGAGGCCCAGATTGTGCCAGGAAAATATCCCGCACACCATTACACTTCCAGCAGCAGCCCGAACTACTGATGCACAGCAGGGTGGATCGATGCTGAACCCCTACCATCAACACTCATCAGCAGGTAACCTTTTTTCTAATCTTGTATTATTCAGTTTTGGGGAGCCCACATTCTTTGACCCAGTGTGGTCTTCTGCTGCTGCTGCTGTAACAAATCTCCTTTAAGGTTTTATGTGTTGTGTATTCAGATGCTCTTCTGCACACTGATTGTGACCAGTGATTATTTAAGTAGCTGTTACCTTCCTATCTGTGGTCGACTCCTTTGTCATGTGGTGTGAGCAGAATCATCTGCAGCTCAACGTGGCAAAGACCAAGGAATTGATCGTGGACTTCAGGAAGACCAGGAAACACTTGACCCCTGTTTCAATCCAGGGGGTCAATGCTGACATTGTGGAGGACTATAAATACCTCGGTGTACACATTGACAATAAACTGGACTGGGCTAAAGACACCACAGCACTTTACAGGAAGGGCCAGAGTCGTCTCTATTTTTTGAGGCGACTGCGGTGCTTCAACATCTGCCGGACAATGCTCAGGATTTTCTACGAGTCTGTTGTGGCCAGTGTGATCCTCTACGGCCTTGCATACTGGGTTGGGGGGGGAGCAGACTGAGGGTCGAAGATGCCAACAGACTCAATAAACTGATCCGTAAGGCCAGTAATGTTGTGGGGATGGAGCTGGACTCCCTTAAGGTGGTGTTGGAGAGGCGGATGTTGTCCAAGATAAAGACAATGTTGGATAACACCTCCCACCCACTCCACAACATACTGGTCAGTCACAGGAGCACGCTCAGTGAAAGACTGAGGTTACCAAAGTCTACATGTCTAATTTAACTGAATTGCTGCCATGTGATTGGCAGATTAGACATTTGCATTAACAAGCAGCTGAACAGGTGCACTTATAATAGCTGGTGAGTGTAAACCAGAAAGTACAGTTCTTTGATTGGAACTGTATCACAGCATTAACTATCCTTTCCTCTGTGTTAAAGGCTCATCCAGCTTTGAATGGATAATGTTTGCGTGAGACGTCCCAAATATTTTTGACAATCCCAAACATGTCTTTAGCAGTATTTTATGCAAATGTGTTCTGGGAGCTATGACTGCTAATTATATCAAGACGTATCCAATTTACGCTTACGAATCAACACATGTGCTATGAACATTGATGAGCGTGACCTCCTCTGGAGGGGATATAACCAGGAGAGACCTCGATCTGTTTTATGGCAAATATTACAAAAAGAAAAGAGCTTTAAGTCTTATAGTGTAGCCAACAATGTTATGGAGGAAAGCATTCTCATTTCTTTCAGGTCCATCTACCCTGTTAAGTTTCTGTAATCGTACCAAAGGCTAACTTATACCTTAAACAGCAGTTTGGTGTTTTTGAACACAGATGTCATTACTCAGCACTGCAAGGAGAGCAAAGTGTTATTTGGGATCTGTGTCTGGGTGTGACCACACCACCTACACAATCTATTCTGGCAGCGTTTCAGGCAGTGTGGAAACTCTCCCCCCAGGCTTAATGCGGTTTTTCCTGCCATAATACGACGAAACAATAAAATGAAACAAGATGAAATGGCAGCTTTACATGGCTCAGTGAGCAGTTAGGCGGCTGATCGAGCTCACAGATTATTTACTACCTACACACGATATAAATTATCTGGGTGCGTTTTGGCTTTAAAGCAACTTTTTCCCCTTTTTCCCCTAAAAAACCCCCCAAAAACAAAACAAAAGAGAGAAAAA